CTTCACTGGTGCCTGTTCATCTCCTCAACTTCTAGATACTGTCGTGCTGGGGGCAAAGCCAACACTTCTCTTCTCTTGGTGATCTCATTCAGTCTTCTGACTTGAAACATAATTCTTAACTATGTAGAGGAGGGAGGATACAAGAGATAAAACCACAAGCCCCAGCCCCCGCTTTCCCCTCCTGCTTGTCCTGACCACATCTCCGGATGCTTCTGAGTCCTATTCTGTCACCATCGCCTAGATTGAAGGAGATAGTGGACCAGATGGAGCAAGGTTACAAGTTGCACTAGTAAGTCAGAGGGGCTGGATTTCCATTACCTTCAGACTAGGCTTGAGGAGAAGCCTTTCCTGCCAGCCCTGGGGAAATCACAGCTCCTGCACTTGAACCTGGCCCACGTTTTGCTCCCATGTTGCTGAGCAGAGTGGTATTTCCAGCAAGTGGCCTCAGAAAACCTTAGCTGTCTTAGTTTCTGTTTATAATATTTGCAGTGAAACAAGGTCATGTGGTGCTGACTTATGAAGTTCAAGTAAACTATGTTACCACGAATAAACCTGTCTAATTATCTCTCCCCCTTGGCAGTAATTTGTGAATTTCAGGGGGAGTGTGTAGTGTGCTTTTGAATAGTATGTACTGACCAACCAGTCCCTGGGGATGCAGAAATGCCCATAGGGATTGACAGGAAATGATTTCTTAATAGCTCTCCCCGCTCCCTGCTCACTTCTGGAGAGCTCCCTGTGGGGGACCTGCTTCCTGTACCTCCCCACAGCTCCCACTTCACTCTAACCTCTCCCTAGAAGTGGGTGAGATTTTAATGCCACTAGTAGAGAAACACCCTTTGTCTGCTGGTGCCTGGGGAAGGAGAGAGGCAGCTGTTTGCCCAGTGAGGTCCACACAGGCTATAGGGGTGGGAGATACCTTGTCCCCAGCAGCAGTGAGCTCACGAGCCAGTGACCCAGACCCACAGAGAATGGCAGTTTTAGAAAAACATTTCACAGCGCTTCCACAACCAGGCCCTTTATTTCTGAACTATCGTTGCTGCACAGGTCAGGTCACTTGGGGTGCAGGCACAGTGTATGTGTCAGAGGGAAGTGGGTCAGCAGGAGAGAGGAGAGGGCTGCATGAGTGCAGGCCACATCCTCATGGGGAGGAGAACCGGCCACAGAACAGCATCTGTCTGGTCCTAACATTCTGAATGAAGAAGAGGAAGGGGCGGTCAGCACGGAACTGGGGGGTAATCCTAGCACACCGCATCATCATGATGGCGGCCGTGGCAGCTGCGGCCTCTGTGCCCTCCTCATTGACCTCCACAAAGGACTTGTGCACAACCTTGGACAGAAACAGATTTCTCTGGGAAGACATTCCAGAAAAGTCTGCCCTGCTCTGGTCAAAGGCATCGGTCATGCCCAGGCTGCAAAGGACAGTCTCCATGTCATAATTCTCCTCCAGTTTAAACCGTGGGAGGAACACTTCCACCTCCTCTTCGTCCATCATGTCTGGTCTCGTCCATTCCATGAACTTCTCATAAGTGATTTCTTTTTCCACCTGGAAGGAGAGAGTGGAAGACTTTAAGGCTGGGAGCCGTGATGTGAATGCTCCATGCTGTGAGCAGCAGTGTGGCCACAGTGGGCAGCTGCACGGGTGTCAGAACAGCTACCAGTAAACCAGTTAAAACAGCCGACTGGCAGAGCAGCCACAGCAGGAGCCGGGCACAAACCCTCACCAGATACCGCAATTCTAGCTCAGCGGCATTACCGTTTTTAAGTCGGTGTTCTCATCTGGAAGCATGATGACCATATTCAGCTCCTTGCCAACATAGGGAAGCGCCAGAATTTGGGTGAATATTTCTCCTATATAGGTGATCTTAAAAGTAGCTTTCTTAAACATCATTTGCACAGGTTTCTTCTCATTCTACAAAAGAAACAGATAAACATTAAACCAAAACAAGACCCAACTAAGATGCAGGACAAATCCGACAGAGTGTCTCCTGGGATCACTTGCTCCCCAGTTTCCAGGACACACTTATCACCGCTCTTCACTGGTGCCTGTTCATCTCCTCAACTTCTAGATACTGTCGTGCTGGGGGCAAAGCCAACACTTCTCTTCTCTTGGTGATCTCATTCAGTCTCCTGACTTGAAACATAATTCTTAACTGTACATCCCCAGCATGGCCCTCTCTTCTGTAGGCAGGACTCTGATATTTTACTCCCCACTTGATGCATTTGGACATAAAAGAAACTCCCAATGTTGCCCATAACACTGGGCTCTGAAGACTTCCTCCAAGTCTACTCCGCCCACAACCCTGCCCGGCCCAGCTGAGGACACACCATCATTAGCAGTCAACAGCCTGGACTCCTGTCTGTCTGAGCACCCCCATCTTTAGCAAATTATATTGGCTGTGCCTCTAAATTATAACCCAAATCTGACCTGCTTTTTCTACCTCCACTGCTACCAGCCTGGCCCTGGAGCATCACAATAACCTCCTGGGATTATTCTCCACTCTGTAGCCAGATGGATCAGGTGCAATCTATGTCAGATCACATCGCTCTTTGCTGGACACCCTCCCTGGCTCTTCCCTACTCGGAGCAAGGGCCAAAGTCCTTAAAACAACCTGTAATTACAAGAGCTCATTCTCCTTCCCGCTCCCTTTGCTCAGCTGCTGTAATCACAGGGGCTTTTTCATCGTTCTGGGGGCAAACCTGGTTCTCACTCAAGTTCTACTCAGTGGCTTTCTCCTCTTCCCCAGCCTCTTTCTGGTCTTTGCTCACCTGAGACTACGCCCCCATCCCCTCCCTTCATGTGTCTCCCTGGCATTCACCACCGTCTTAGCTAGGCTTGCTATCTCTCCCCCAGGGAGACGTGAGCTCTGTGAGGGCAGGAGTGCTCTGCTGCTTTTCTGCACGGCTGTTACAATACCTAGCACAATGCCTGGCATCAAGCAGGCCCTCAGTCAACTTCTGCTGAATAAATGAACTAATTAGCAGGAATACTGAAAGGCCAGGCCAAATTTACACAACTTATTAGAAAAAGCTGCATTGGTCTCCAACAACAGCTAGACAGGGAAAAAGACCGGAGTCCAGTGATGCAACCCACCCAACAGTCCTCCTCAGCCCCTGACTCCAAGCAGCTCCTCTGAATTTACTAAATAACCTGCGACAGGCACAGTCAGCAGCACCATATAGTCTCCAGTTCTCTGGTGTAGCATGCTATCCTTATATGGAACAAACAAAACACACTGCTGCTATAGCTTTCTGTGTTCACCTCGTGGCACCCCCATTCTCTTCCTCAGCCACTGACCAGCACACTTTTTCCATAACTGATCAGAGGGTAAATATTATTGGTTTTGTGTTTACACGCACAGTTTCTGCCACAACTACTTGACCACCATTAAGGATAAAATATGTAAGCAAATAAGCATGGCTGTGTTCCAATAAAACTTGCTCTAAAAAAATAGGTGATGGGCTAGCTTAGGCCCTATAATAGGCAATTTCTTCCTGCAAGACCCAAAGCCTCCAATTTTATAAGATAAAACTTTCAATTTTAGTAACTGGATGATTCACTCAATATGCAATTGTATAGATAGGGTCTATTTTATTAGCAATAAGGCAGTAAAATGAAAATGCTTTATCAATTCAAAACATGTGCCCTTAGAGGAAACCTCCCCCAACCCCCATGGGCTGGGGCACCTATGGGCACACAGCAGCCCTTTCTGCTTATTTTTTCATTACAGACATGGAAAAAGCAAGACTGGATTCCTCACCTCCCCAAACAACATGGAATAGTTCTGACCTTTACCACCCTGAAAGAAGGTTTCCCTTTCTGAATACAATGGCAGAACCTCCCAGGGAAGAAGGCTTAAGGCCCCTTGCTCCATCCTTCTTGCTCCCTGCTTCCTGGACTGCAGTGGTGATGTCTGGGGCATCTGGTGACCATGAGGAGATTGGTGGAGAGGAGAAGGGAGCTAGCACCTTCGGCTGGTGCCCCACTGCCACCTCAGCCTACATCTCCACCATCTCCAGACCTTCTGTAGCAGAAATAAACTTCTGTGAGCTAAACTGTGATGAACTTGGGTTTCTGTTACTCGCAGCTGAATGAAATCCTACCATACATCTTATTAAAGATTAATATCTAGGACAGTAAAAAAATTGCCAGGGGAAAACTGGATAATTCATCTCAGAATAAAGCTTGAGAGAAAATACATTTCTAGAGGAAGTAAGGTTCAGCCTCTAGTTGGCCTGGAAGATCTAATTAGTGATCAATAATATGCTGTATTGGGAGGCACTGTGGCTCAATGAGTAGGGCACTGGCCCCATATACCAAGGGTGGGGGGTTCTAACCCGGCCCCAGCCAAACTGCAACAAAAAATAGCTAGGCATTGTGGCAGGCACGACTGTAGTCTCAGCTACTGGGGAGGCTGAGACAAGAGAATCACCTAAGCCCACGAGTGGGAGGTTGCTGTGAGCTGTAATGCCCCAGCACTCTACCAAGGGCGACAAATGAGACTCTGTTTCTAAAAAAAAAAAAAAAAAAAAGAATACGCTGTATTTGTGTAGATGCTAAAATCTCTATAAATAGAGATGAACAAAACAGGCAAGAACGAACTGGGTTCAGTGAGAGAAATAGCAAATGACATATTCCAAGCTAAAGGTGGCTAAACTCAGTATTTACCTACGTGTCTTTTTGTTTGCTTTTTTAAAAACAAAAGGCTTTACTCATATAGCCTGTACTATCTAGAGAAGACTGAACATCACTCATGGGTTCAGCACTCCAGGAGCGCCACCTGTATCTGCGCCAGATGGCCAGAACGCAGCAGGGTGGGGCGTCGTTCAGCCCCGGCAGCGTCCCGTTGCGACCAGCAGAGGGCGCGGCAGCAGCTCAGAGGAGGGAAACCGGCGGGAGGACTGGCCAGGGCTTATCCCAGAGTGCTATGGTCCTGATGGAAATGAAGCTAGAGAGATGGGGGGAATGGGCAGGATTTGGGTCCACCAAATCCCCCAGCAATCGTAATTTGGAATTTGAACTTTCAGGCCTCAATTAAGCCTGAGAGACACGCTATCAGATTTGTCACGTAGGCAACAGTCGGGCAAGTATCAGATTGGGGGTCAGACCAGAAGCCAGGACCAAGCTCCCCCACCTTTGAGGAAACGTAGAGGAGAAGCAGGACCCGACTCGTGGGGAGCCTGGCCATCAGCTTCCCAAGGCTACACAAGGCACAGTTACTTGAGTTGGACTTGTCCTGTGTTTTAGAAACTCATGTGAACAAAAGGACCATGGTAAGAATCGTTACCTTGCTGACTTTAAATGGTCTCTCCTTGGTATGCTGTTTGTTAAACTGTTTCTCCCAGTTTCCTTTGAAATAGATGGCATTCACGAGAATCAGATTAGTCAATGAATTCACTAAACCTGGAGTGAGCAACTCTGTAATTTTACCTAAAAGGAAGAATTAGAGAACTAATTAGTTATACATCAAGATTGATTTGGGACATCTTCTTAATTACCCAGGTATATGGATAAAGAGTTTCACTGTCCCTCAGAGTAAATGAATACTCGTCCTTAAAACAAAGCTACAAAACTTTACAAGTTGTGATTAAAAAAAGAAAAAACACCATGATTTGAATAAAATGCACACAGTGAACACAAAGATGTTAATTATGCGCAGGATTAATTCATAACATATGAGACAGAAAGGAATGGCTGGTGCCTGACTTAAAAACAGCAACTTAAAAAACTGTCAAAAAGATGGACAATTAGATGTTACTGCAGGTACAAGCCAAGTGTCCCATGGCAATACCCAAAAACTGTTGAGCATCAGCTACACCACAGAGGGAGACAGCTCAAGACCCATAATAACCATTGTTTCATGCTATTTGTAAAAAGAAAGACTATAATTTAAAATGCAGATTGTTCCAAAAGAGACACATAAGTGCATTAAAGACAGCAGGAAAAAGCTATAGAAAATGTCATACATTCCAAAGTTTCAAAATGTCAAATACTGATAATAGTTCAGATTTTTAAAGTTTACAGTTATTTAGAGAAAAAATAATCACTCCTGTTTACAATTGACAGTCTTGCAAAGGAAAGGACAATAAGACTGATTGAAATACTGTTACAAATAGGATAATAATATAGTTTCACCTTCTGTCTTTTTCTCCACCCAGGCATTTACGTATTTTCTGGATTCCTCTGAAGCATTCCTAAAGTCGAGCTCTTCTAACTCTGCTTGGTAGAATTTATGGCAAGAATCTTTAAAACCCTAGGACAGACAGAGTAACAGCATGGCTACAAAAATAACAAACACCAATAGCTTACTTCTTCATTGTGCCAAATCAGAGAATCAGTAACTTTACGATTTACATGTGTAATTTACAAATAAATATAAGGAATTAATCTGAAATCCAACTTTTCAATTTTTACCTTTTTTTTTTTTTCCTCAAGATAGGGCTCTGTCACCTAGGCTAGAGTTTAGTGGCGTCATTATAGCTCACAGAAACTTCAAACTCCTGGGCTCAAGCAATCCTCCTGCCTCAGTCTCTTGAGTCACCAAGACAACAGGCATGTGCCATGCCCAGCTAATTTTTCTATTTTTATGTAGAGATGGATTCTCACTCTTGTTCACGGTGGTCTCAAACTCCTGGCCTCAAGCAATCTTCCTGCCTCAGTCTCCCAAAGTGCTAGGATTACAGGCATGAGCTACTATGCTTGGCTTTTAGCTATATTTAACCCTTGCTTATAAACTAAGTCAAATCATGATCTGAATATAAAAAAAACTTCACAAACTGCTGGATCCTTTAAGGGAGTAACTGTGCATAGTGATGGTGACCAGTAACTATATTGCATCCCTCCTTGATAAACCCTTTCCTGCTCTGAGTGGGGTTAGATAGGAAGAACCACAGCCCCCTCTGTGCTGCAGAGCAACACATAGTAGCCAAGCTGTACTAAGCCACAGAACACAGGAAATGAGTAATTTTAAACAGCGCTTTCTCGAAAGCCTTCTGTGATGATATCTGCAAAGCCATCACATAGCTGGCCATCACATGGCTAGCCAGCACCAGAGACTCCACTAGTGCAGCTGAGAAATGGAATGTCATTTCATTCCATGTTAATTAGTTATATTAGAATGCAAACAGCTGGCTCGGCGCCTGTGGCTTAAGTAGCTAAGGCGCCAGCCACATACACCTAAGGTGGCGGGTTCGAATCCAGCCAGGGCCCGCCAAACAACAATGATGGCTACAACCAAAAAAAAAAGCCAGGCGTTGTAGTGGGCGCCTGTGGTCCCAGCTACTTGGGAGGCGGAGGCAGGAGACTCGCTTGAGCCCAGGAGTTGGAGGTTGCTGTGAGCAGTGAAGCCATAGCACTCTACCCAGGGGCTCAGCTTGAGGCTCTGTCTCAAAAAAAAAATAAAAAAAAAGAATGCAAACAGCTCCATGAGCCCAGTGGCTACCATGCTGGATGGCTCAGTTTTAGACTCTTAACCCAATGCTGATCAGTCACAAGTTACCCAGTAACATGGGTAGTTTCTGCATAAAACTGCCGGTCAGCAATGTGTTAACATAGCAGTTACTCCCTGCTTCATTTCTCCCAGTCTCAGTTCCCAGTTGTCCCAAATTCAGTCTATTTTATTCTTTCTCCCCTCATCTCTCAGCTGCTTATAATGTAGAATCACTTGGCGCCTCTAACATCTTAACAACTCTCTTGCTAATATATTCTATGAAATGATAATGATGTTAATGAATGCCTACATTATGCCATAGAAAAGCAGAAAATGTGATGGAAAACAAGTGTGCTGGAATAACTATGTGGACCGTGCACTACGGATGCTCTCCCAAACTTTCTTTTGACTAGCTTATGGCTAAACATTTAGTTCCTCTTTTGTTTTTATATTAAAGGATTTCACATTTCTCCGTCAGTAGGGCATCGGAGGGGCAATGCCACACAGGAGTTAAGGAACACAAGTTCTACAACACATTAGCAGTATGGTCTCAAAAAAAATTGATAGGTCTCCCTGTGCCTTCTTGTTCTCCGCTGTCAATGAGGGGCCAGCACTAGTTGCACTGAGGGCTTACTTCAAGGACCAGATGAATTATTTTCATATCACTATGTACCGTTACTGTAGTCTCGGTATGGTGCAGACACCATACAAGGTGGACTGCACAGAGCATTTAAGCCTCACATTATGCATGCTTTGCCAATTTCACTGCGTTGCTTATTGATTGATGTTTTTGAAAAAATTTTGTTAACTCTCTCAATCTAAAAAAATAGCCTGGAAGCAAACTGGGCACTCATATATTGATGACTTGCCATACCCTAGGATGATTTTTACAACTATTAAACACATTTGAAAATAAGTGTTTGCTATTTGTTAATTTGTTATTAATAACAATAGCAATGAATAATAATAGCAAATGAACAAAAATAGCAATGAATAATCAAACAATAAATGATCAAAGAAATATCTA